CAGGCCCTGCGAACGTCACGAGCGTGCTGGAAGTCGCTCCTTCCATGAGCTCTGCAAACTCTTCTCTCTGCTGCCTCTGGCGGTGGCAGTGCGAGGAGGCCATGGGGGAGGACGGTCCCTGAGACTGGATCGTTTGCTGACCTGCTTCTAATCTTTCAGGCTATGGAAGTGAGCAACACGGACACTGAAATCCTGTACAATGGCACAAATGGAGACCCGCTGGCTGCTAACTACAGTCTCGCGCCGAGCACTCCCATCCATCAGAACGTCAGCCTGCATCAGGCATCTCTGGGGAGCTGCGCACAGGACCTGTCCTCCCTCTTCAGCTCGGAGATCGAGAGCCCCTCCGTGGCTAGCAGCTCAGCCCTGCTCCAGCTGGCTCCGGACAACTCCACTGGCCTCAACACCACCTTTGGAGCGACCAACCTGAGTGGGATCTTCTTCCCTCCACAGCTGAACAGCACAGGCAACGAGACCACGGGCCCTGGCCTGCCTGACCCCTTGGGAGGTCTTCTAGACGAAGCCATGCTTGATGAGATCAGCTTGATGGACCTGGCGATTGAAGAAGGTTTCAACCCAGTGCAGGCCTCTCAGCTCGAAGAAGAGTTTGATTCTGACTCAGGGCTTTCTCTGGACTCTAGCCATAGTCCTGCTTCTTTCAGTAGCTCAGAAGCCTCCTCTTCCTCCTCCTCCTCCTCCTCTTCCTCTTCCTCCTCTTCTTCCTCTTTTTCCGAGGAAGGCGCCGTCGGCTATAGCTCAGACTCTGAAAATGTGGACTTTGAAGAAACAGAAGGGGCAGTTGGATACCAGCCGGAGTACAGCAAGTTCTGCCGCATGAGCTATCAAGACCCGTCCGAGTTACGCTACTTGCCTTACCTTGAGCATGTTGGTCACAACCACACCTATAACATGGCACCTGGCGCGCAGGACCCTGACGAGCCCCACCTGCCAGCTGTAGCGAAGAAGAGCAGCAAGGAGAAGCAATCTGACTTCCTGGACAAACAGATGAGCCGGGACGAGCATCGAGCGAGGGCCATGAAGATCCCTTTCACCAATGAGAAGATCATAAACCTGCCAGTGGAGGAGTTCAATGAGCTTCTCTCCAAGTACCAGCTGAGTGAGGCACAGCTGAGCTTGATCCGGGACATCAGGAGGAGGGGCAAGAATAAGATGGCTGCCCAGAACTGCCGCAAGAGGAAACTGGACACCATCCTGAACCTGGAACGGGACGTGGAAGACTTGCAGAGGGACAAATCCAAACTGCTCAGGGAGAAGGTGGAATTTCTCAAGTCCCTTCGCCAGATGAAACAGAAGGTGCAAAACTTGTACCAGGAAGTGTTTGGGCGCCTGCGTGACGAGAACGGCCGGCCCTACTCTCCAAATCAGTACTCCCTCCAGTATGCCAACGATGGCAGTGTGCTCTTGATCCCTCGCCCCTTGGCCGACCAGCAGGCCAGGCGGCAGGAGAGAAAGCAGAAAGACAGGAGGAAGTGAGCCGGGGGAGGAGGAGGGCGCTCACTAAAGTTAGGAACTGGAGAAGGGCCGAGCCTGGAAGTACTAGAGGAACTTTCATGCCTTCTTATCCAATATATCTTCTCAAACATGACTGCTGCCGGTCAGTGTATAGGGAGAGACTGCTGCACATGGAGGGTGCAGGACCTGCACAGTGAGTTTCTGATGGCTCCCATCAGGGAGTGACCAGGGAGCAACAGACAGTGAACTGGGCAAGCCCAGCTCCCTCTACGGCCTGGGATCCTTTGAGTCTGGGGAATAAGCTGGCATCCTTGGTGGTGAGAATCTGCAGAAGACGGAGAAACTACTGCTTAGGGACTGGCTTCAAGAGATTTAAGCAAATGAGCTTAAAACAAAGTTATAGGAGAGAGACTTTTCTGAACTTCCAAAGTTCTGTGACTTCAGGTAGTCGTTTTTTTTTTTTTTTTTTTCTTTCTTTCCCTGAACCAGTTTTGACATTGGTGTGTGATAAAACCTGATTTAATTCCAGATTAACCAACTTCCCCCTTCCTAGATCAGACCAGTGCATACATGAAAACACATGCGGGGGTGACATTAATTAACTCTTTCCGGTCTGAGGATCCTTAGATGGGGCGAGGAGAGACGGGAGCTCTTACCTTGAGGCGCTGCGAAGGTCTGCGTCCTGAGGAGGGTGAGCAGCGGTGGGGTAGGTGGGCCTGGAAAGGGTTAATAGAACCACTGTGATGGATCCCCCATGAAACTCGAGCGTGTCACTGCCAATGAGCCAGCATCGTGGCGTTAGCCGACATGGCAAGCACCGTCTCCTTCCACAGACTGGCCAGGGAACCCGTTGGGTGGGGGGACTTGGGTCTAAAGCTGGTCTGCAGTCCGTTCCTTTCCGGCTGCAGGAGTCTGAGGAGCTGGCTGCTGGATGGCTTGAAAGGAGACGTGGGGTTGGGCGTCGCAATCCCGGTGGGCATATCGCACAATAAGGGGAGCAGATGGTTCCTACCCCAGAAGTGGGCTTGTCATTATAGAACTAGACATCTGTTCGGATTCCTGTTTCTTAACCACGCTTTGTGTTTCGGGCGCGTTCCCAGTAGGCTGTAGAGTGCTTGTGCGCAGTGAGAGAAGCCCCAGTGTTCAGAGCTGCTCAGTGTAACCGTGTGAACACATGATAAGATTCTCTTCTGTCCCTAGGTGTTGGTCTGACGTCCTTTGTTTTAAGAAAGGGGGGGCGGGTAGTGCCTTGATTGCTGCTAGTCTTGGTCCCTGAGGCCAAGGCAATCCTAGAAGCTGTATTTACAATATAGCACAGCTGGGCGTGTACTGACTTTTACCAGCAACTGACAAGCAAAATGGCTTTCCCAGCCAGTCCTGTGCGTGTCCTATGGGGTGAGGGCGGAGCACTGACTGGAGAACGTGCATCCTATGGAGAACATGGGATCTGCAGCGCAAGGAAGCTGGCGATGAGACGCGAGAGCAAAGGTCTGCTGTTGGCAGCCTGGAGAGCTCCGATTGCACACGACAGCCCCGCAAAAGGAGGCGGGCTTGGTCTAAAATGCGTATTTCAGGCTATCTTCAAAGCCGAGCTGCGGGCGCTTGGGTAGTATATTCACTGTGCCATGGTCCCATGCTGGACAGCAGGAGATGGACTAGCTAGGACTAAGCAGGTCGCTTCCATCTTTAACTTCCGTGAGTCAATGGCTTTACTTTCTTATATGCATGAGATGAAGCACAAGTAGTGGAGAGGTGGTTCGGGTGCAGGGGGGTCGGAATGGAGCCTTGAGTGAATGTCTTAAATTATTTTCCTCTTAGAAGATTTATTTTGATGCTCTGTGACCTGTCAGGGAGAGAAGAGATTGTGTGAGCACAGGACAAATAAAACGGCTTATTCACTGTATGTCCATTTGTTTCACGGAGTCTTTTTTTTTCTTGCTAGCAGAAGGGACGCTAAACTAGTAATGATCCTGATGGGTAGTTTCTTGTATAGAGTAACAGCCCTGCCTGCATCGAATGACTCCTCCTTGGGTAGAGACGTTCTGGGTTTGCCTCTTGAGCTTTAACGGGGCCTAACCATTGTAAGTCTCTGCTATTGACTTCTGTCGTCAGAAGGCCCTTTCTGGCCTCTGGCGAGCAGAGGGAGCAAGGCGAGCTGCCTTTGACGAGAGGGCAGGAGCTATCGGAGCGTGTGCTTCCATCGCTGTAGGTTCAGACTCTGAGAACTTCAAATGTCCTTGGTCTCAAAGGGCTGGCACGCTACACTGGCATCCCCTCCAGCACAGAGATGCTCCCGACTGGAGTGAACTGAATTTTGACATCGGTGGAGTAGAGCTACCGACCGCGTTAGTGGGCTAAAAGGTTTCAGGCCTAGTGATTGGGGGGGGGGGCGTGTTCTTGCCTGGGACCGCCTAAGAAAATCCTGCATGAATGAGGGAGCAGGGATGCTCTGGAAAACAGCAGCTACTTCTGTATTTCCATCATCTCCCTAGTG